AACTTTATATTGACCTTGATCCCCAGTGGTGCACATAACGCGGACGTCATGATTTCGTCATGAACAAAATGAGTTACCACGTTAATACTTTTGTGATCTGATGGATCGTACCTTGATAAGCATATTTGATCAGCAAAGTCAAAGTCGTCTGACCTTCCCTTCTAAATCCGAGGGCTGTTCAATATTAGGTGAATTCAAAATTTAGAATTAAGCCTCAAAATAAAACAAACCAATTTGTACCAATTTGTTCTAATGGGTTTACATTGTTGTAATAAAACCTGCTGTGAACTTGAACTTCAAACTGCCAGTGTTATACATTTTGCAATGTGATCATGACGTCATCAGGTATCCAATACAAGCAATTTAAGGGCACAATTTGACAAAATAGTTTAAAAATTTTCTAATGAACTAAATGCAACATCATGCTCTTTTTTTCGTGAGGTGGTTGACGGTGACTTGAGCAACGGGTTTAAACTGTTTGACCTGCACTTCCGGTAGTGCGTTGCGACTGGCTAACACGCATAGACAGCTTAAAGACTATTATATAACGACATACAGATTCTTGTCATTTGATTGGTGGAACTCACATCTCGTGTCATTCGTTATTACTGCCATTCACAACGGGGCTCAAAAAGTACTATCCGCCAATGGGGAATGAGAAATACTATTGAACAGTTAGGATCAGTCTTGTTCCGTGACGTGGTATTTGTGTGCAAATGCATGCTGGTGTGCGCGTTCAGCGATGCGCGTAGTGCGATTTGTTCCAAAGAGCCAGCGCTACAGCGTTTTCGTTCATACATTTTCGTGAAGGGGTGGTTTGGAAGAGAGAAGTACATTTTTCACAAATTTTGTATTGAAATAAAAGGTTCAAATATATCAAATGACAAGGATCTATATGTCAGTTATATAAAACAAATACTGATTGGCTTTAAAATGTGAAATTCGCTTCGTGAAATGGAAAAGTCTAGATTTTACCGAGCGATAATATTCCTCCCATTCCACGCTGATCCACTCAATATTTGTATACTATTGACCTATCGCCGTTTGCGAGTTGGCCACGCCCCTTAGACAACTTTGGAATTGTTTACGCTAAGTTAGATGTTGTGCGTTCTGCGTCCATTTGTATATCAATTACACAATATTTCACAAGCTGCGTTGACGCCATTCTAACGCGATTCTAACGCGATAGGTCAACTTTAATCCATCCCTAAATGTTTGCCACTGCGTAGTTTATGCAGTCTTTTTATTCTATATCTATGGATCGAGCCTCGACTCCAGGGGCGCGTGCTCGTTCCTTACACTACGATCGCGCAAGGCATTATGGGAAACAACATGGCGCTGCAAGATCGTACCCACGGGGCACGAGGTTGCTATGAATCAAGCATGCATTGCATATCGTTGAAATGCATAGATATAGAATAACAAGACCAGATTGGCAGCGCGTGCATACGCACGGCTATGCCTGGAGGGTCACGTGCTGGAGGAAAGATACAAATGGCGCACTAGGCGTGACGAACGCAACGCCGTTTACGCGCACATTGCGAGTTTATTTTGTGTTACTTGAAACCTTCAATGCTAATAATTATACACGAGAATAAATAAGATAACATCGTTCCCATAATGTTGAAAGCCCAGCCTATTCTTGTTTATTTCAATCAGTATCTCTTGAACATGGATGCTTATGATTATGACTATTGGGCCTACTTAGAAAAAATGGTTGTCTTAAAACAGGTTAATTTTGCAGAAAATAAACTGATTATCCCGTATAGCCGAAAGGAAAAGTGGCACGCCAACGTATTAGCGTGCGTGAGCACAGCGCGTTAATACTCGGTGCGCATTTCTAGCTTCGCACGCGTTGAGTTAGGTCACGTGCTGGAGGAAAGATACATTTTGCTCCATAACTTTACGTTAATCTGTTGCGCGTCCACGAGAGACAACTAAAATGGCGGAGATTTATCGCACTGTAAATGGGCGCGTGTGGACGCGCTGCCGATCTAGTCTTTTTATTATATCTATGTTGAAATATTCCAAACACGCGAGCTTGTTCCTCGAAATATGATCGAAATACGACGCAGCTGATGCGCGTTGTGCAAGTTGACGCCATAGAGCCATATTAAATTTGCTGATAGTGCGTTTTGGTTTTGGGCGTATTGGCTTCGATAACGCACTGGTATGGAAAACAAACATGGAAAACAAACATGTCATTAATGGAAAACAAGCATGTATGGAAAACAAACATGTTATTTGACTATTGTTGTTCATCCTGGTACTCTGCGTTGTCAGTAAAATTGAAGAAAAGGCTTCAAACTACCCAAAATAAATTAGTCCGGTTTATTTTAAACATGGATTCCTGATCACATATTGGTCAAGCAGAACTGAACAAGCTGGGCATGATAAACGTTAATGACCGCGTCACACAACTCAAGCTGAATCATGTTTTTAAAATTTTTCATGAAATGGCACCGGACTATCTCTGTCATAAATTTAGGAAGGTCTCAAATATGCACTATTATTTTACCAGGGGCAGTTTCACCAATTTTGTTGTTCCAAGAATTAAAGGGCAAGAGTGCACTTCATTTTTATTATACCGGAATTCATCAATGGAATTTACTTCCAAACATCATCAAATGTTCCAACAATCTTCCTCATTTTAAAAGGGCAGTGAAAGAACATCTCTCTTCGTATTAATTTTGTTTTTTAAGCAGCTGAGATTTTTGTGATTTCTGTGATTTGTTTTTTAAATTATTTTTCTGTTGCTAGATCCAGTGCAATTTTTTTTTTTACTTTTTGTATTTGTACTTGTACTTGTATGTGTGTTTTTAAGGACCCCAATGGAATTAAGTCGTCTTATAAATAGCTTTTCGGGTTATCCTTGGCTTTGTATTTACATGAAATACGTTCGTTTTTTTACCATTGAATGTTTGTTTGTTTTTGCCAAAATAAATAAATACATAAATAAATAAATAAATAAATAAACGCAGAAATGCAAATATACGTACAAAATCCGTACAAAATTTCTAGGTCTCCATAGGTTTGTGCACAAACATGGATTACTTTGTACACGAAGTTAGCGCTCTAGTAATCTAATATAGGTCTATGGTTGACGCTTAAAAGCTGATGCACGTAACCTTGTCCCCAGTGCTTACTTTATTTCCAACTTCGTTTCCAATAGTAAGCCCTGTATAGGAAACTTCTTCTTGTATCCTGATTCGAAACCTCAATTTGCTAGTAATGGATTTATATCGTGTATGTTGTGTTGTTATTTCCAACGTACATTGCGTGTTTTAACGATCGGTGTAAGTATAACATCCACGCCTTCTAAAAAATTCACATTAATATGAAATGTGACACTGCATATTGGCGGGCCAGATTGTTACATTTCAACTTCCAAAATAATCATAACTCACGGCGCCAAGAATTGATGCTGTTTTTACCTCAGACACTGCATACGAAAACAAACGCTAATGTAACTGTGACATGCCATTTCATACGTCCTCTTGCCTAGCGCCCTCGCTTGATTTTATTATGTATTCCTCTAGAGCCCCCAGCCAAGCCAACATTCCTTAGGACCCCCCCACTTGTCCATTAGTTCTGATTCCCTCATTCCCACCATAGAGCTTAGACATACAGTGAACAACTCTGTGGACCGCTCAGCTATTGTTTCTATAATTGACCCAAGATCAGAGTTTTATGTATTCCTCCCATTGAAGATTGCAAGAAGCTAGGCTAGGGTAAGTGACTATTTTATTTTATTTTTTAAGAATTCCAGAAGTCATGTTTAATGGTTTAATTATTATCAAGTTATCTACTTTCTCACTGATGCTTTCTTCCGAGGTTAAATTTGTTTTAATCATACATTATCTACAACTAGTTCTCTTAGAAATGTATAGAATTGCTTTTCCTGTCATTTATTATTATTTGTTATTTTCTGATTGATAGTTTTGCTGAGAAATTAGTATCTTTAGTTTCCTTTATGTTTACTTGACTTAGTTTAGTGGCCAAACTTTCCCATGCTTGCAGTGGATTGCCACCTGTTAAACATCACCACTGTGGAATGGTGCTGGCCTCTCTGGCCAGAGTAGAAATCCCCTTAGGCCTTATGCTGAGTGTAATGCTAGTGGTTAGGAAGTGAACATATCGAAAGTCCCTATTGCTACACAGCATTGTTGTATCGATAGTGCCTCCAGTGTACTGTGGTTTATGTTGAGTCTGCTCAAGCAATTGATTTGTGATCACTGCAACATTGCCTGGCACTAGATGGACCACTGTTTATAAACTGCCCCTGATAAGAGTGTGACCAACTGTAGGTTTTCCAATGTTTTGTCAGAGTAAAGCTAATTATGTATTCGCTCCGTTCTAGAAAAGTACATGTTCTAGCAAGCTATTGTTTTTCTTTATTCAAGTACCAGACTGTTTAGCCTTGGATAGACGCAATTTAGTTTTATGATTTACTTTTTAGGTATTTAATCCTCTTATTTCTTAGGTTTGATACAAAACATTCAGAGTTTATTAATCTTAGTTTGTTATGATTAAGATTTCACTCACTTACTAATATATTCTTTGACTCAGTAAAGAACCATTTTATGCAGTTATGCTGAGGTTGTGTTGTATTCTTCTAAGAATTTAAGTCTAAAGCAATCACTTGCCTTGTACATTTTTTGGACCAACATAACTTAACTTTCTGTTGACAGTTAACAGCATATTCTTCCTAGTGAGAGTTTAACTTTCTATCTTTATATTATTATGCAGTTTCTTATTTGTGAATTCCTTGTTCTTTCTCACGAAGGATTGTATTTACAAAGAATTGTGTTTTATATCTTTTCAGGGTTCTTATATGCAGACACCATATTAAAAAACACACCAGTCAGAGTATGCTTGTCTCGAGCGCATAATATCTGACGGTCACATTTGGCGTCGTGGACAGCATGGTGTGTTGACAACTGCAGCCCCTAGCCCATGAGGAGGTTTTTTCTCGCCTAGTCCTACCACTGACCTACAAGGGAGGGGACTGACGCTCTGGAAAAGCTGCAAGCAGAGCTCGAGGCCGTAAAGAAGGCGCTACAAAAGCAGCAGATTTATGTTGCATCAGGACGAAGGTTGGAACGCTTTAGAGGAATTCCAGAGAAGTCCAGTGACCCTACCATTGAAGAGTGGGTGAGCGACATGAGGTGTCAGTTAGCAGCAAGACAGCTGACAGAGGACGAGAGTGGAGCTTTCATCCTCGATCATCTTGCTGGAAAGGCACGCCAGGAGATTCTTGGAAGGGGTGATGCAGTCACCCACCCAGAGGAAGTCTTCCAAATCCTGCTTAAGGTTTTTGGCGATGGTGATACCCTTCCCCAACTTCAGCAGAGGTTTTTCTCGTACAAACAGGTATCCAACGAGGACCTCCTGACATGCTCCCTGGAGCTAGTCAAGCTTTTCACCAGAAGGTCAAAGCTTGACCCTTTAATCGAGGCAACGAAGGGAAGGACCCTGAAGGGACGGCTGGCAGAGGCAGTTCGTGATGAAGGTCTACAGCGAGAACTGCGTCGGCTTAATATTGAGGCACCTACCCTGTCGTTCTTTGATGTCAGAGACCGCGCCATTGAGTGGCGGGGTTGCAGACAAGGCAATCGCCACAAGGAAGCGACGGTGCAAGAGGTCAAGGCAGTGGATGACGCTGGAGGTCTGCAGTCCCTCTTCAGGAAGCAGAGCGAACAACTGCAGAAACAGCAACAACAGATAGATGCCCTCATTAAGGCATTCAGTGAGACTCCAAAGAGCTGGAGAAACCAAGGTTCCCGAAGGTGCGTCAACTGCCGTTCAACAGGGCACCTTAGGCGCCAATGCCCCTATCCACCACAGTCCCCGGTGGGTGGCTCTTCTTCAGCCAGGCAACAGTTTGTTCCTGAGCAGTGTGCCAATCAGCAGAGCATGTACAACCCCCGTGCACAGCAATTTGTTTCTGAGCAGTTTGCCAGTCAGCAGAGCGTGTACAAACCCCCTGCACAGCAATTTGTCCCCGAGCAGTCCGCCAATCAGCAACTTGGACCCCAGTAGCCAAACCCCCAGATGCCGACCCCCAGACAGCCATTAAACTAGCAAGGCCTGCAATTATGAGCCAAACGACAGGCCATCAGATTTCATCAAGAGAGAGTGCCCTCTCAGTTATTGAGAGGGCAGTAGGGAACTGTCCAGTGGAACGTGTGAAGATTGGAGGCACGGAGGTGACATGTCTACTTGACACAGGAGCACAGGTTTCGACATTGACCGAGTCTTTCTTCAAAGAGAACTTCTCCCAGGAAGACTTAATCGACATGCATTCCCAGCTCCACATCTCAAATGCCCAGGGTGCCGAAATCCCCTACGTAGGATATGTTGAGCTGCCCCTTCGAGCATTTGGGTCAGACCTTTGTCCAAGCAGGTTTCTTGGTCGTAAAGGATAAGGTGAGCACACCAATGGCTAAGCGTAAACAACAACTACCTGGAGTATTTACTGCAAAGGTTTGCAGCAAAGCTTCGGTACCTGGGACATGAAATGTCAGAAGATGGCATTACACCAGACCCAGAGAAAGTCAGAGCTGTCACCGAATGGAAGCGGCTGTCGACAGAAGGAGAGCTCAGAAGTTGGCCTGGCAAGCTATTATCGTCGCTTTGTCCCTGGGTTTGCTAAGGTGGCGGCTCCACTCCATGCCCTGCTAGCTGGCACCTTAAAGAAGAAAGGCAAGAGGAAAGCATCTTCAGCTGTGTTAATATCTGACGCTTGGGGTGAGACATGCGAGACGTCCTTCAAACAGCTTAAAGAACTTCTGACAAGTTCTCCACTATTGGGTTACCCGAACTTTATACGTCCATTCATTTTGGAAGTGGATGCCAGCCACCACGGTCTTGGCGCAGTTCTTTCACAATAACAGGAGTAGGGTCGTGTAGTCCTTGGATATGCAAGTAGAGGCCTCAGAGGAAGTAAGAAAAACATGGACAACTACTGTAGCATGTGTCATGTATGGTCTTGTGTAATAGCGCCCCCATGTGGTTACTGTATTCTAATTGATATAATCGATAATCAATAAACGATACACGAAATCAAGATGGCGTGTCTGTAGAACCCGTCCATGACACAGTTAAAAAAAAAAAAAAAACAGACCTGGCAATTTGAGCATATCACAAGTAGTCCTAAGTATCCTCAAAGTAATGGACAAGCTGAAAGGACAATTCAGACTGTGAAGCAAATACTCAAGAAAGCTATCAAAAATGGCGACGATCCCTATCTGAGTCTATTGGAATTCAGAAACACCCCAGTAGATCATAACTTAGGATCTCCATGTCAGTTACTCATGAACAGGAGGACTAGGAGCCTAATTCCAGTGAGTGACAAACTTTTGGAGCCTCAAGTGCAAAACAATGTCACCCAAAACTGGAAAACAAACAAACAGTACATAAAATGTACTACGACAAGCGTACGAACATGTTGCCACAAATTCAAATTGGTGACACTGTACGTGTTCAGAGAGAACATCGATCTTGGGAACCAGCCCAAGTGAAACAAAAGACACATCATCCAAGGTCGTTCATTGTTCAAACTGAGAGAGGTGAATTGAGAAGAAACACAAAACACCTCATAAAAACAAATGAAAATCCTCCCATTCAGGAACCAACTGACATAAATTCTAGCTTGGGTGCAGGAAATGACCAGGATGAAAACCTAAACCCTGATCAAAGTCAAACTATGCCTGAACCCACATATGTAACCATACGAAGTGGAAGACAAGTTAAACCACCCACAAGGTACATAGAAAACAGTTAAAAAACAAAAGAAAGATAAATGAGGCAGTTTGTTAAAAATACAAGAAAAACAAATGAGGCAGTTTATTTGAAATTCCACTTTATTAACCGAATCATACAAAATTAGCAGTTACAAGTTAAAATTAATTAATCCAGTATCGCATATTCCTTAAAGCAACGTTGACTTAAACAAAATTACTTTGCTTAGTACAAATTCTATGATACTGAATGTAACCTCACTAGAAATGTTTTATACATATAACCCACATGTACTGTAAACTAGCCTTACAACATTTCTGGAGAAAACAATTTGTAAACACTCAAAACTTAAGAAGGGGGATGTCATGTATGGTCTTGTGTAATAGCGCCCCCCATGTGGTTAATACTGTATTCTAATTGATATAATCGATAATCAATAAACGATACACGAAATCAAGATGGCGTGTCTGTAGAACCCGTCCATTACAGCATGAAGCTGGAGCTACTGGTATTGAGATGGGCCATCACGGTGAAGTTCCGTGACCTTCTGCTGGAAGCCGACTTTGTTGTTTACGACAACAATCTCCTCAGCTATCTTCAGTCTAATTCCAAGTTGGGCGCTACCGAAACACGATGGGCTGCTGAACTAGCACAGTTCAGATTCACAATCAAGTAGAGGTCTGGACGCATTAACCAAAATGCAGATGCCCTGAGCAGAAAGGTTACACACAGCAAAGAGCCAACGACTGCACGGTTTGAGGAGACTACTGCCGACACAGCATCTCACCTCAAACCCTGCACAACAAATGTTCCTAATGACTTAAAAGCAGCCATACAGAACACCATCACTGAAGTTGGTTTGAATGAAGTCCGCAGCAGCGCAGATGTAGCCCCGCTAACAGCAATGTCCACAATCCCATCTATCCCTAGTGAGGACATGGCAGCAATGCAGAGGGCAGACGATGACATCAGTCGACTATGGTACTACTGGGAGCGGAAGCAGAAGCCCTCCCTCCGTCACTTGATGAAAGAGACACGTACTACTCGTAAACTGCTTCGTCTGTGGGACTGTCTTACAGAACCGAACAACGTACTGTATAAGCAGAAGGTTGAGAATGGTTCAACGGTACGCCAGCTTCTCCTTCCTAGTGCCCTCAGACAAAAGGTTCTTCAAGCTCTTCATGACGAGGCTGGACACCAAGGTGTAGAGAGGACAACAAAGCTCGCCCAGTCTCTGTGCTACTGGCCTGGAATGTCCACGAACATTGAGACCCACTGCAGGCATTGTCAAAGATGCACTTTGGCGAAAGCTGGTAGGAAACTTCACCCAACTATGGGGTCGCTCATTGCGAAGAAGCCGCTGGAAGTCCTAGCTATGGACTTTACAGTCCTCGAACCAGGCACAAACAACATCGAGAATGTTCTGGTGCTGACAGATGTGTTCACCAAGTTCACGCAAGCAGTACCATGCAGGGATCAGAAAGCGAAGACGGTTGCCCGTGTCCTTGTTCGAGAATGGTTTGTTCGCTGTGGTGTGCCACGGCGACTGCACAGTGACCAAGGACGGAGCTTCGAGGGCAGAGTTATCCAAGAACTCTGTGAAATGTTTGGAATTTCTCTAAGTCACGGACAACACCGTATCACGCAGAGGGCAACGGCCAGTGCGAGAGATTCAACCGTACTCTCCATGACCGGTTGAGGACCCTTCCCCCTGCACACAAACGACGATGGCCAGAGTTCCTGCCTGAACTCCTGTATGCCTATAACACCACACCGCACTCATCAACAGGTTTCTCACCGCATTACCTCTTCTTCGGTCGAGAGCCTCCACTGCAGATAGACCATCTCCTTGGTGTGCAGAATGATAGCACTGGAACCAATGACCATGACAATTGGGTCTCAGAGCATCGCAAGAAAATGCGGATGGCATATGACATGGCCTTGGAGAAGATGGACAAAGAGGCAGCAAGGAGAAAGGCAAGGCATGACCAGAATAATGACGAAACCGACCTACCATTGGGAGCAACGGTCTTCCTCCGGAACCGTGACATGAGGGGACGCCACAAGATTAGTGATGTGTGGGGATCCATTCCTTACAAGGTGGTGGGTAGGCCTAACCCAACGGGGCATGTCTATATGGTTGCTGCACTTGATGGAGATGGAGAAAAGACGTTGAATAGGAGAGATCTGCTCGAGGCACAGGCTTGGGCTGTGCAGGATGTTGTGCAAGATGCTGCACAAGATGCAGCCCCACAGCGTGATAGGCCGTTGCGTCCTGTCATCGACACCCCAACGTCATCTGAAGAGTCTGATGATGACGACAATGTACTTTTTTACACGGAGAGTCAAGAAGATTTAACAAAGCCCATGGTGAAAGCTACGTCCGGAAAAAGCAGGGGAGCACCCAGTCACACCAGCAGATCCCTAAGTAGATGTTTCAGATGAGTGCTTACCAGTTCAATCATCTTGTGCCCCAGTGAGTCCGTTGGTAGAAGCAACAGTCACGTTACCAGCTGAACCAGTTACGGAAGAGCCTGAACCTGTTCTGCCAAGACGTTCTACCCGTTCCACAACATTCTAATCCCCACCGTGAGCCGAAGGCAGCTGTTCAGTCCGAAATACCTGTCCAGATGCCACCAGCAACCCCATTGATTGACCCTAAAGTCCTGGCAGAGATGTCAAAGGCCAAACTGCTACTGGCACAGATGCTGGCTGGAGTTTCAAAGAGCACTGTCTGATGTTATATTTCCATTATCACGTGTATAATTTAGTTATTATTATACTGTTTAAGATTCTTTATAGCGTATTTACTTATTATTTTCTTTTGAGTTGTCGGGACGCCAACTTTAAAGCAGAAGAGAATGTGACATGCCATTTCATACGTTCTCTTGCCTAGCGCCCTCGCTTGATTTTATTATGTATTCCTCTAGAGCCCCCAGCCAAGCCAACATTCCTTAGGACCCCCCACTTGTCCACTAGTTCTGATTCCCTCATTCCCACCATAGAGCTTGGACATACAGTGAACAACTCTGTGGACCGCTCAGTTATTGTTTCTATAATTGACCCAAGATCAGAGTTTTATGTATTCCTCCCATTGCAGATTGCAAGAAACTAGGCTAGGGCAAGTGTCTATTTTATTTTGTGTTCTTTAAGAATTCCAGAAGTCATGTTTAATGGTTTAATTATTATCAAGTTATCTACTTTCTCACTGATGCTTTCTTCAGAGGTTAAAAGTTGTTTTAATCATACATTATTTACTAGTTCTCTTAGAAATGTATAGAATTCCTATCATTTATTAT